GGTCTTAACATTATTTCGCCTAATGAATAAACTCTTGACTCTCTGTGGAGAGCTTAATGGAAAGATCAAAATTTGGAGAGAAAAAAATTATAGGAATATGACAGAAGCAAAAATAAGGTTTTTGGAAGCAAAGTAGCCAAGCATAAATGTCAGAATTATGAATACTTGATCCAGTAAGTGTTGAAAAAAGCCCGGACAAGAAACTGGGCAAGGATTAATAGGCACCATATCAGTGTGTATTTTGTTTTGCTCTGAATATCATTCTTTTAAAATACAGTGGATAAAAATATGAAAATAAAGTTGAGTTGCAGGGAATAATGTAGTGGTTAAGAACATGACTTCTGGATCCAGACTGCTTGTGTTGGAATTCTAATTCCACACTTATGACCTGTGCAACTTTGGACAAATTACCATGGGTTAAATAGCAGTATCTGCTTCTTAGGGTTGTCAGGAAGTTTAAATTTATGCAATGTACTTAGAACAGTGCCTGGCATATTGCAAGGGCTCAGCAAATGTTAGAAAATAGTAGTACCAGTAAGAATAGCTTTTACGTTATAAAATAATTATCTTGAAAAAGAATATTAGTTTCTCTCTTTAAGTATGCTTACTAGAAGCCAGTTAGACAGGCTCTATATACTGCATTAGTTGGAGCAGTTGACTCTAAGTATTAATAATGTAAGAAGAAATAAATACCTGGAGATTGACTACATAATTGAGAAAAAAAATGGACCAGTTGGGCTCCCTATGGTGATAAATTGCTTAGGCTTTGGAAACAGGCTGAAATCTTGGCACTCTGTGACTTCAACTAAGTGATTAGCATCTGTGAGTCTCAGTTTCCTCATTTGTCAAATTACTTACTTTATGAAGTTTTTCTGAGAGTTAAATGAGATCAAGTATACTAGGTGCCCAATGATATACCTAGAACCAATAGGTACCCTAGAGGTGGCGTTTGTCATTAATGTAATCAGCAAGAGATCCCACCTTGGCTCACAAACTTCCTCATCCCACGAAGCAAATCCTATTACTTGATCATTTCACCACTATTGTTGCTACAGACTGTTAATAGATTATGGCTAGTGGATGCTTCGTCACCTCTTTTCTAATCCAGTCTTAAACATAAAGGGCTTATCTAAAATTACAAGTACAAAATATGGTGCATCAATAATGTACCAAAACAGTAACCTAATTCTTATGTACCTTCATATGATTCCTATCACTTTCATTAATGAAAAAGTTATGATGTAGTGACAAGTTTCATCTGACATGCCGGCTCTGACTATTGATGATTCCTAAAATGCGGTGCTAAAAAGGAATTTGAAGTTGTGTGTAGGCTCACCAGTACAAAAGACGCTTATGTCACTCACCAGGGTGTGCCAGGGCACCAGAAGAAAGAGTGGAAATGGATGCAAGAAAGATAGCACAGAAGAAGAATGATACGGGGCGGGCGGGTGGTAAGTGCATGAACATGCACGCATATGTGAATGCACATTTTTCTTCCTGAAATGTTAATGTTGTTTAGATGTAGCTTTAAGAAATTAACACTGAATGTGTACATGTGTCAGGCACTGTTCTAAGTATTTACAATTATTAACTCCCTTTATCCTCATGACAGCCCTACGAAAGAAGCTAATATTAACACCTTCCTTTTATGGCTAGTGAGTGATGGAGTCAGAATTTGAACCCAGGGATTTGGGCTCCAGAGTCAATTCTTTTTAATCAATATGCCACACTGTCTCTTAGAAGAAACTAATGTAACTTCTCAAGTTGGCAAACATTTCCAGAATGCAGGTTTCACTTAAAAAGAAGGCATTCTGACTAGACTGAATTAAAACAATTAGTCATTTTGTCTCCATACGTTACCTAAAAACATTGAATTTATAGTGAGATCTCTGCGTTCAGCATCTTTCTGCCAGTCAGTTGTGAATTCTACCTCAGCATGTCTTCCATCAGTGAGGACATCAATCCGTAGTGTCGTAATTTCAAAATTTTCTTCATGAAGCTACAATAGATTTTTAAAAAAACATTAGTTTTTAATGTTACTGGATAGATTGAAAATAATAAGTTTGTCTTCATTAAGGCACAGTGCTATAAGCCCTGACAATTAGTTACGTGTTTTTAAAGTCAACTAGTATACATAAACATTGAAACAGAATGACACCCACAATATTCAAAGATAGATGCAAAGAATGACATTTTTTTTTAGTACCCATCATGATTAAAAAGTAACAAGTCTGACATAATAAACATGTCAACTCTGCTAAGTGATGTGGTAGGTAGAAAGGAGGAACCCTCACAACTGTATTCTCATTCTACAATTTCAGATCAGGCTATTCTCTGAAATATTTTTTAACAGCTCCAGTTTGCAAAGAGCTGAATATCAATTCATGGGATATATATATACCACTGAGCAAAGGATTGATAAAGCAAAAAGTCAGTTAGTAGATCCTCAATTCCTTTACTGGTAATCACCAATGAAGTTAAAGTGTTACAGTGTCCATAGCAACCTTGGTTCGTATCCAAGTAATAGCACCAAAAGAAAAGAAATAAAGTATTACATATATTTTGGGAAGAGATATTACCTCCCTCTGGGAAAGTTGAGTAGTCTCCTGATAGAGTGACATCTGAGCTAAGCCTTGAAAAATAAATAGGGATCTGTACATGGAAATGTAGTGAGAACATTTCAAATTTTAAAAAGATGACCAAAAGCGTGGAGAAAGAGGAAAATATGTAAAAGAGAAAGTGTACCTGACAAATAGCATATTAGCATTTAGGGGTAGAGAGCAAAGGGTTTTACATGCCAAGCAGGAGTTTGGAATCTCTTCCTTAGGAAGTCAAAGCCGCTAATGAGCACTAGAAGTCTGTTCTAGGATTTCTCTCAATTTAATACATATTGTTCTCTAGATACTAGTGTATCTATGTCTATATTCTCACTACAGAATTCCAAAACTCAGGCATTTTGAGACACAAGTATCTCTGAAGGCAAAGGGTAAGAAAAGGGTTTGAAATAAGAAAACTGTTTGAAAATCATTATAAGAAACAATTAAACCCCTTTCCCCCCAGAATGCCTCTCTTAACCAGGCAGAAAACCAGGGATTAACTGTCTAGAAAGGTTAAACCAAAAGTAATCAGAACTTGGTGCACCAGGCACAGATGATCCAGAATGAAGCATCACAATGAAAACAAGATTAACTGAGAATCCACATGACCACCATCCCTTTCCCTACTTGGTTCCAAAATGCTAACCACCAGGATTGTTCCCTGCGTAACGCTGGGGGAATCCTCTCTGATTTCTCCTAACGATATCTCCTACTGAGACAGACACTGGGAGTCCAGACTGGCTGACACTTCCTGCTAAAAATTACAGTAAAGCCCTCAAGTCATTTTGCTAACACTTTAGAGCATCACCCAAATATACAGAGAGAACCAAAGAATAGCCATATTTAAGGAAAGCCAATATGACAGAAAAAGCTCAGAGGAAACAAACATTGTCAGAATAACTACAATTGATATCCTAAGGGAAATAAGAAGATACTGCATCTGAAACAAGAACAGGAAGCTTTCGAAAAAAATATACTAAGACTGACTTCTTGAAAATGTAAAAGACCACAAAAATTGTAAATATAATAGGTTAGAAAATGAAGTTAAGGCATTCTCATGGAAAGTAAAATAAAAGACCTGAGAATAGACAACAAAAGATAAAACTAGAAGATCAGTCCCAGGGCCTAGCAACCAAATAATAGGAGTTTCCAAAGAAAACATTTAACAAAGGGGATGAAATTATAAAAGAAAAACAAGAAGGCCCACTAAGTGCCCTGAACAATAAATAAAAATAAACCCAAAGCAAGGCACATTATCTTAAAATTAAGAGATGAAAAGATCAGAACTCAAGATGGATAAACAATTAAATATAAGACTTGAAACCATAAAAATTATAGAAGAAAACACAGGAAAAACTCTTCTAGACACTAGCCTAGGCATAGAATTTATAACCAAGACCCCAGTTAACAAATATAGCAACAACGAAAATAAATAAATGGGGCTTAATTAAATTAAAAAGTTTCTGCACAGCAAGGGAAATAATCAACAAATAGACAACTTACACAATGGGAGAAAATATTCACAAACTATACATCCAACAATGGACTAATACCTAGAATCTATAAAGAACTCAAATCACCAAGAAAAAAAAATAACCCCATTAAAAAGTGGCAAAAAACATGACCAGAGTATTTTCTTTTTTTTAATTTTTTAAAATAATTGTGACCCGGAGCCATGGCCAAGAAACCTTGAGCAAGTGGACTCCATGACCAGAGTATTTTCAAAAGAACATAGACAAATGGCCAACAAACATATGAAAAAATGCTCATCATCACTAATCATCAGAGAAATGCAAATTAAAACCACAATGAGATACACCTTACCCCTATCAGAATTCTTATCATTAAAAAATAAAAAAACAGTAGATGTTGGTGTCGATGTGGTAAAAAAGAAATGCTTATGCACTGTTGGTGGTAATGTAAACTGGTACAACCTCTACGGAAAACAGTATGGAGATTCCTCAGAGAACTAAAAGTACACCTACCATTTGATCCAGCAATCCCACTCCTGGGTATCTACCCAAAGGAAAAGAAGTCACTATGTCAAAAAGACACCTGTACCTGAATGTTTATCACAGCACAATTCACAGTTGCAAAGATGTGGAATTGACCTGTGTGCCCATCAGTTCATGAGTGGATCAAGAAAGTGTGGTATATATATGTACCATAGAGTACTACTGAGCCATAAAAAGGAATGAAATAATGTCTCTTGCAGCACTTGGACGGAACTAGAGAACATTATCCTAAGTAAGTATCTCAGGAATGGAAAAACAAACACCACATGGTCTCACTAGTAAGTGGGAGCTAAAGATGGGAACACACAGGCACAAAGAGATAAAGGACATTGGAAACTAAAAAGGAGGAGATCGGTGGGGGAGAGTGAGGGATAAAAACTTACCTGTCGGGTACAACGAACACTATTCTGACAACAGGCACACTAGAAGCTCTGACCTTCAGCCTTATACAAGGTATCCATATAACAAAAACATTTGTAACTCCTTAATATCTTGAAATTTAAAAAATAAAAATAAAAGAGATAAAAAGATCAGAAAGGCTTCCAAAAGGATAGAATAATCATCAGGTTTCAAACAAAGGAGAAATCTAAATGGGATCAGACTTCTGGGTGGCAGTACTGGAAGCTAGAAAACAAAGCCTTTAAGTTTGAGTGAAAATCATTCCCTGCCTGGAAACCCATAACCAACAAAACTATCAAATCAGTGTGGAGGTAAAATAAAAATATTTTCAGCCATAAAAGGCCTCCTTAGGTTTTGAAGTATTAAAATGAGGCCATAGAAAGAACACCATATGGGACCTAAGAAACAGGAGTTCTAACAAAAAGAGGCCAAGGAGATTCCTAAAAGTCCATGTTAGAGTAGGAAGACAGCACCAGGTAAGATGTCTCCAATAAAAAAGAAAGAACTGAAGCTTGATGTGTTTAAATCTTTTGAGAGGAACTTTATAACTCTGGCACAGAGTACAGGAAACAATTAGTGGTACACACAAAGCTACGTAAAAGAAAAATGCTATTAACTGCCGGAAAAACAAAAAACATGCAACAGAAGAAATACAATCATAGCATATTCCACGATCTGGCTGTAAACAATACAAAGTCATAAATGAAAACCCTGAATATTGATTTAACCAAAAATTATGATATAAATATGCTAGGAAGATAGTAGGAGGAGGATTATATGTGGTTGTTGTTGAGAAGCTAAACTGTATGAAAGCTAAATCATCTTCCCTGGTAGGAAGTCAATAGCTAACATCTTAAAACTGGGAAATAAAGACAAAATCCGCAGCATACAAAGATCTTTTTTAGAAATGGGAAGGTAACAAGTATCCAAAGAATTGGTTAAATGTGGCTGCAACAATGGAGGATGCAGGGTTTAAGAGGGTTTAGAGGAGACTTGCATTTTTACTGGGCTATTATTCACTTTTTTAAACTAGAAAAAAATTATTAAATTTTTAAAAGTTACAAAAAAGGCAACGCAATTAACGAAGTGTAAGCTTTTCACTTACCCTGGCAGTAATCGTTCCGTGCTTTTCTCCTTTGTTGTTTATCATCCGAATCCCAGCTGACTGAAACATCTCCTTCATCTGAGCTGGGGTAGCGGTGGTGGCAAAATCCACATCCTGAGGCTTCACTCCATTTAATAAATCCCTCACTGCACCTCCTGCTATTCTTAATTCATGGTTCTCTTTGACGAACAATTCTGAGATGAAATAAAGAAGATTTTTATTTCAATGTGTTAAAGCAGTACAGAAGTGATTCATAAGGCTCTTCCATCTATAGGACAGGAGAGATCACTTAACTGAGGCTTTTCATATGAAAAATGAGAACAAGCCCCCAAAAAATGAAAAGACTTCCTTCCAGCAGCATGCCTGTGAGAACTGTGGGAAGCAGGGAACTTGCAGAATTCTACAGTGCCTCAAGGTCATCAATATAAATTTGAATTATTACCAATGAGTAAAGCAAATAATTCCGCTTACTTTTTCCCCATTTATGTGCATACTTTAGAAATGGTAAAGTGTTTTCTAAGTATTTCTCTTTGTGTATAGGTGCTGAGGCAGTAAGTTCATGTATGAAACTATTGGACATTAGCCTATCATATCACTTATGATAAATGTTATGGCAAAGAATCCTTCAAGAAATAATCTGCATATGGTGTTTAAAACCAGCTCATAGTTGTGCTCTTGGTAGAACCATACGAACCCTGGAGCTACTATAACTACACAGCTGATTGCTCTACGGGTACAGGGTAAGACAAAGTCCACCACAACTACACTCATATGACCCAAGGACACCACATGGAACCTAGTGAGAATGACATCCAGGAACTGGTCTGATTCTAGCTAAGCCTTGGTGCTGCTACAAGTTGTCCTGCCACTCACAACTAGGCCCTGGTGTCCTGTGGAACATAAATAATTTCACAGAACATGAATACCAGACAAGGCCATTCTGTGACCACGATGGATGAAGACAAAACAAGCCAACTCTGTAATCATTTGAACACAGACAAAACACAAACACTGTCTGAGACACCCCCTATGATAGTTAATATAGGTGACTGCTCCTTACTTACCAATCAGGTTTAGTCTCTCACTTTTCTCCCCTTTTAGGTAAGAATTACTAAGATACCCAATCACAGCATTACTTCTGCTTCCTGAGAGCATCTAATCCATTGCAAAGCCCCACTGACTTGAACTCTCTCCAGAGAGCCCAAGTATAAGAAATCCTTACTGAGATGCACCTAAGTTCTCCATGGTCAGCGCTCTCCCTCACTGCCAGGAGTAACAGCCCAACTTGGTGTGTCCCAGAGTGGTCTTTGGCTGGAGGACAGTGACACGAACATTCAGCTAAACTCGACATACACTGGAGTTGCAGCATCCAGACCACATCTCAGAACATAACCCTCCACCCCTACCCCAATGTCTTCTGGTTTTTGTCCTCCCCACACACCTCTCCTACTAATTGTTCCCAAACCTTCCAGCCCCACTGCAGACTCCCTGAAGTGATTTGCTTAAAAATAATAAATGCTCCCTCCCTCCACCTTCTTGCCTTAACCAAAAGCTGGCTCTCCCACAAGGACACCACTTCCATAAGACCTCTGCAATGGGAAGTGTGCATATTCCTTTAATGCCACATTTCCAATCAAGTCCCACTGCCAGTGGCCACACCACCCTCCTATCAGTCCAGCCTCCACAATCCAGACAGGGATCTAAAACACCAGGTTAATCGTGCTGTGCAACTGCGCCCCTAACCACTCAGAGCACAACAGCCAAATTCTTTAGCACAATATACAAAGGCTTCTATGACCTATTTGTCTCATCTCTCACTAAACTTTGCATCACATTTCACCCGCACCAAACTCTCCCTGTAGTTTCCCTCCGTAACTCCACCTGTGTGAATCACTTCACTGAAACACCTGCCCAGTTCACTCGTCTGTCAAACTTCTTGGGCCATAACCCACGCTAGGAAGGACATTCACACAGCAGTCACCCACACCTGTTTGTGTATCTATGTGGTAAACAAAAGTTTCATGAAATAAAACTTACCCCCTTACTGCACACCATGCAATCTAATATCATACATTCTATTCTCTCTTCCTCTCTTTTAAAAAATGCCGGTCATGACCACTAAATTGACATAGACCACTAATGGTCACTAACCAGTTGGAAAAATACCGATCTAGCTCACACGTATTCACTGAGATTCAGTTTAGGAGGCCTCTCCTGAAGGTGAGGTTAAGTGAATTTCTTCTAAGTTACTGGTGTAGCATATCTTTACACATACTAATTACGTTAAAATTACCGATCATGTCTTTGTCTCCCCACTTCTCAGGGTAGAAAACCTATCTTATTCATCTTTGTACCAACTTGGGCTCACAATGGAACAGAACTGTGATATTTTAGCTATTGAAAAAAAAAGAATAGCTTTACTGGGAATTTTTTTTTTTAAGTTTTCTGCCTTCAAATTAAAACAGTATCTAAGAAATTGTTTTGGAAAGCAAATAAAGGGCAAGTTTTATGTTCTTTTGAACTTGCTTTAAATAATGGGATGAATACGGTCAAAGCTGAATTTACACAGATAACCACTGTTTTAAGATTCTCATACTAGCTTTACTAAATAAAATTGTTAAGTTTGAAGTCACTCAATAAATTAATTGCATTACAGAAAAAGAGATCCAGAACTTAAAGTAATTTATTCACCATTTTGATTAGCCCTATTATTAAATCATTGCCAAAAAACTCACAATTCAGGATTTTTAAAATAACATTTTAATACAATTGAGAAAGGCACATAAAGACATTTATGTCTGTGTGAAATAGGAGTCATAAAAATTGTAAAAAAGGCATGAATTTATATTGACCTAAAACAGTAGGCACTATCAAAAGCTTAAAGACTCCTTTATTCCTCAGTTACTGATACCTTCAATCTTACAAAAACAGGGATACATTCAATATGCCAAAAGACTTTACAAATTACATACATATTCAGTGAAAATAACAACTGATGCAGCTAAATTTCATTATAAATTTAAGCCTGACACTCAGAAATGCAGAATCTCATCATTCCAGAACTATGTTAATTTGCTCCGCCACACATGATAGTAAGCCATTGTTAATTATTCTTGTTTGCAATCCAAAAGATCACACATTAATGTGTCAGAAAACTTTTGTAATTGTTACCTTTTTAATGTTAATTTGCAATTAAATTTTCACATGCTTATTCCCTTTAAAATTTTGAAGTTTGAGGACTGGAGGTTGGGGTGGGGCTGGTGAAGGTGAGCCAGAGGTACAGGTGGGAAGATCATTACTACAGGAAAACAGACAACCTCTTCTAAGAGCTTCCAACCTTCAAGAGTGACCAGTTGTTCCTATTGTCCCAAATGTTAATACGACTTTCTGACATCACATACTGTTAGGTAAATTGCAAGGGATTCCGGGTCTCCTAGGGATGAAAGTGGGTGCTGTTGCCTTGGTGCAACTGCCCACCTGGGTAGGACAAGGGTGGGGCCCCAGGCTCCCATCTTGGTCCTGTTCCACCCTAATCCTTCCCGAGCAACTGCCATACCCGGGGGAGGAGGGAATAACCTATGAATCGGCCAATCATAACTTAGGGCACCAGCTGCAAAAGAATGTGGAGGACTCTCTAACCCATAGGCCAAGCAGCATAGGTACCACAGAGTCCGGAAATTGACCTAGAACAACCCGCATGCGTAGTAATGTAACTCCCAACTGTCCAATGAAAGTGGTTCCATGGTGACGTCTGAAGCCACCATGCGGTCCCAATCTGGGCACTATAAAACAAGTCACAGACCATAGCCAAACTCACTGCCCTTCCCTTGGCTCTCCCTTTCCTGCGACAATGGGTCTGGTCATTATCTGTGGCATATGCATCATGCTCTGTAAACCTGTATCTTACTCTTGTTCTATAATCCTATCTTTCTCTCCTCAATAAACCTCATTTTTGTGCTTGCCTTACTTTGGTGTGTGTGGTTATTCTTCAGCCATGAGCACACCAAGAATGAGAACCAGCATTTCAGACTAAAACCTGACAATACCATTGAGCACTGTCACCCAGCAGTGACTATGGGCCACAACCAAGTTAACTAAAGAAATCCTTGCTTGTCCACTAATCACATAACTCAGGCAAAAATTTCCTATATTCGGCACTTCAACCTCATCTCTGGAACAGGGAAATAATCTTATATACCACTAGCAGTACATGGTTGTACTGAAGCAAAACCAAAAATATGTGAAATAACCTGATAAATTATAAAACTATATTATATATGACTGTAATACATTCTCCTAGCCTCCCAAATTCCTGCATACTAAAACTAATTCTACACATCGCAAAGCAGATATTAAGATTTGAGAACTGGTATGGTAAGATCTAAACTGCCGTATGTATCACCATACGGCAGCCATCACAAAGGCTTTTTGTGTTTTTGTGCGTTTTGTTTTTATACAGAATTTTACCAGGGCACCCAAGTCTTTGATTTTCAAACTGTTGAGCAACGCACTAAAAGATTCCGTTCTTGCCACTTCCACCATAACATAGAAAAAGTCAACTTTAGATATATCGATGCTCTCATGTGCCAGTCTTTCGAGGAAGGGACCCAGAAGCAACAACTGCTTCTATCTTACCATACCACTGAGACCCTAATTTCCTTAGGGCTTCATTTCTCAGAGTAGAGAAAATTCAGCTCTTAAAGTCAGGTTTAGAAAGTTAAACACAACTGTTAAAAGATTTTCAAAAAACTACAGTAATCATTATCTAGGCCAGGCACGGTGGCTCTTACCAGTAATTCCAGCACTTTGGGAGGCCATGGAGAGAGGATCACTTGAGGCCAGGAGTTCAAGACTAGCCTGAACAACACAACCTGACCCCATCCTTACAAAAACTACAATTAGCCAGGTGCGGTGGGGTACCTGTAGACCCAGCTACTTAGGAGGCTGAGGTAGGAGGATCGCTTGAGCCCAGGAATTAGAGGCTGCAATGAGCTATGATCACACCACTGTACTCTGGCCTAGGCAACAGAGCAAGACCCTGTCTCTTAAAAAAAAAATCCAGAACCCTGTTTCCAAAAAAAAAAAAAAATGCAGAATGAGCTCAAATAAGCCACTGAGAGCTACTTAATCGTTCTTCCAAGAGGCCACTTGCAATTGAGAATGGGAAGACTAGGGGCTAGGAAGGGCATATAAAGAAAGACCAAAGCTCAAATTCAACCCAGAATTAGAGCTTCTAGATTTGCCTTGTTCAAACAGTAGTCACTAGCCAGTTGTGGTTACTAAGCACTAGAAATGTGGCGAGTCTGAAATGAGATGTGCTGTATGTGTTAAACGTGCTAGATTTCAAAGATACAAAAGAATATGCCTCAGTAATTTACATGTCTCATACTGAAATTATATTATCTTAGATACATTAAATAAAATGTACTAAAATAGTTATTAAAATTAATTTTACCCATTTCTTTTTACCTTCAATGTTGTTTGTAGAAGTTTGTATTACATATGGGCACCTGTATTTTTCACTCTGTCCTGCTAAAAATCAGTGAGGCATCAGCATAAACAAACTCGCATTTAAGCGCTCTACTTCAAAGACCACCTGAAGAACCTAAACTAATCAAACACGTTCTGGGATATTTACCACTGGCCTACACCTAAAAAGCCATCATCTAATTTCAAGAACGGGAAAGTAGCTTCATGAATAAGCTAACACAAGGAAAGTAACTTTACAGCGATTCCTCTGCCTTCTGAACATCAGAATTCATCTGTGGAGTTTTTATAAAAAAAAAATATATAGATGCTCATGCCTCCTGGAGATTTCAGTTCAGTAGGCTAGGGGCAGAATCCTAGCATCTATGTTTTAAAAGCTCCCCCAGGTGAATCTAATGGACAGCCAGGGATGCAAAGCACCGTTTAGGTCGTATTTCTACATACATACTATAGCCTAATATATTTCTGAAGGTGCTATTAAAATACCCACAGGCTTTGAAATGCAGCTGTGTGGCTGCCTCAGCAACATCAGTAGCTGACATTAGGACCAATACTGATAAAACTGTGGCAACAGCAAGAAGCAGCTCCTGTAGTCAGGCACTTAGCTAAACCCATTTCCAGTGTTCCTTCCAGGTAAGTTTTGCATGTGCACAATGGACGTAACTCCTATTTCCTGCTGCCTTCAGTTCTCTCCGAAAACACTTATACCTAGGCAGGAAATGGAGCTTAGTGTTTACAGGTGGGCTCTGAAATCAGACTGCAGAGGTCTAACACCTAGCTCTCTAGTTATCTGTGGCAGAAACATAGGCAAAGCACTTCATATTCCTAAGCATCTGTTTCCTCCTCCCTATAACAAGGGAAAATGTACCTACTCATTAAGTTAGTAAGACCAATCCTGTAATGTATGGAAACTACTTCTTGGCATAGTATTCAGAAAAGTGCCGCTTTTTGTTGCAGTCAACTTCTTGCCTCTTCTAGTGACTTGGCTATAGTTTTGGATTACCTGTAAGTAAACCTTTCTTTCATTAGCTCAACATCAAAAATACCTGAATGTTGGCTAAAAAAAATGTAAACCCTGTGATTCTCTATTTACACAGGCTTCCCAAATCAAGAAATGGCATCCTAATCTCTCACCTGTCAGACTCTTCAATCCTTCTGTGAAAAGTGACTGGAATTCTGGAGAATGCAACTTCATCGTAAACAGATATTGCTTCAGAAGGCACAGCCTACTCCAACTAAAGCTCAGTAATGGCCTGTGCCAAGGATACAGGTACCTCAGCATCTGGAGAGAAAGTCATCAACCATGCATCTACAAGGCAAACATACACACACACCCCAATGAAATTTAAGTGAAGGAAAGTAAAGGGACACATTACAATTTTATTTATCAATTGAGAAAAGCTCATCTCTTGTTCAGATGAAAAGGTGACAATTTAAGAGACAGTTACTAAGTCTATGCTTATAGCTACCTGGTTTTGTACTCTGGAAGCACATACTACTACACTCACATACCCCCGTTTTACCGTTATAACATTCTCCTGAGGGGTACGGAGTTCCAGAAACTCTATCTCGAAGACCTGCAGCAAGACCTGGCTCCTCCAGAACACGTCATGGCCACAGGTGGGTATCAGCCTACTTCCCCACTGGCACCCGAAATTTACGACTCAGGGACATTTCCTAGGAATTGTAAAATGTATTTGCCCAAGACTTAGCCTCGCTGCCTGCGATTTCCTCGTTCTTTTCCTCCCATCGTGCCTTCTCCTGATTCCCAGCACACCCTGCCTTCCTTTCTCCATCATCACACGGGGGTTCTCCCCATAAAGTGGGCAGGAGCTCTCCAGTGACCCCAACGCCTGCACTACTAGACAAGGACCGCTCCATTCCTTGGAGAGCAAGTCTGAGGAGTGGCGCTTCCCCGCAGGGAGCGCGTGCCCTTTACCGAGGCCACATGGGGAGCAGAGTTGACTCCGTTTCCTTCCACCTCCGCCGCCACTGAGAAAAACCCGCTGGGGACCCTGGCACTGAAACGGCGCGCCCTGCCCCCACACCAGGTGCTGGCAAAAAGGCTCAGTGAGAAAGGCCCGCAGGGAGCCGGCCGCGAGGAAGGCGCGCGGGGAAGCCGCGGCCAGCCGAGAAAAAAGGTGGACACGACCTCCACCTTGGAGCCCTTTTGCCCTATGCCAAGGAGGCCTCTGGCCGCATCCCGCTCCCGCCTTCCCCTAGCACAGTGGGCGGCGGGCCAATCGACCCGCATGCGGGAGGGGAAGGTCGGACCCCCTCCAAGCGGTGCGCATCCGCTTACCGGCCCCGCCGCCGCCGCAGCCGCGGCACGCACTTCCGGAACACGAACGCGGTGTCGTCACCGACGCACGTTGGTCGGCGGCGAATGGGCAGTCGCGGCAGGACGTGGGCGGAGCCTGGGCGGCTTCTCCCAGCCCCTCCCACCTCCCCACGGCAAGACAGCGCTATGAGCTGGCGTCTGGGCCCAGTCTAGGCCGGCGCAGGTGGGTCCCGCTCCTGGGAATGGCGGGGTGGGCCGACAGGGCCTGTTCACTTCTTTCATTTATGTGCCTCCCAGCGCACCTGTCAGTTGCTCTGAGGTGCTCAGACGCCCATCTGCACTGCATACCTGTGTGACCTTAGACAATTGACCACTACCTTCCTTTGTAAAATGCAACTATTAATAAAACCTATCTCAGGGTGTTGCCAAGCTTAAATGTCGCGTTACTCCCTGGCACCAACGAAGTATTGGGTAAATGCTAGTTATTCTTGCCTGTTCCCCAGTTCGCACTTGGCTCATGTTACTACTCTACCCTAATGCCTGCATAGAAGTAAGTGCACAATTGACTGCATCAGAACCTAGGCAGTGTGTTCAAAATACACATATTCTAAATCTACGCCCTCTGGTCTGTTGGAATTACTGGGCCTATTTTATTTTTCTACCTGGTTTGTATAACCTCTGGCTCCCTAGTCTGGAAGCTTCACGGCTGTAAAGTGGAGAACGTGGATTTTATTAAGTTCATTAATTTTTTCTAGGGCAAAGAAGAGTGAAGACAGTGGCGGAGGAAGGGGAGTACAACTATTAAACCCTTAAAAATGGGAAAACGTGTAGTCTTTTCAACATAACCTCCCCTAAAATTTTCCTAGAAAAAAGTACATGAGCCATGGTATTTCGGTGGCTTCCGATTACCTGGCCTCATATCTTCAGGAGTGCTAAGACTAGCTCTCCAAAGTCAGAGAGACACAGCATTGATTCAATCAATGCCTGTACAGAACAAGGAAAGCCCAAATCACTCTTTCAGCCTTTCCTCCCATTTCTCTCCACCATGACTCTAGACAAACTGGCCCATAGCCTTCATTGCTGTCTCACCTAGAATAGCATTCTCCAAATTACCACTTATTGAAGGCAACGCTAATTAAATTATAACAGCTATTATAATAACTTATTTTTTGCCAGTTACTCTGCTGGGCACTCTCAAAGAGCCAATTTTTGGCCTTGTCAATATATAGTTTATATATACACATATAAATACAGATAAATACAGTCATTCCTCAGTATCAATGGAGGATTGTTTCCAGAAAACCTCCCCTCCTCCCCCGCAGATACCAAAAATCCCACAAGGCTCGAGTCCTTTATACAAAATGGCATAGTATTTGTAAATAACCTATATACATACTCCTGTACATTTCATTTTTTTAAGTGAACACAATTAATACACCTCCTGTATGCTTTAAATCATCTCTAGATTACTTATAATACCTTATGCAATGTAAATGCTATGTAAATACTCGTTATGCTATATTGCTTTTTTAATT